GAATAAGTGTGAGATGATTTTTCCCGAGATAGAGAAATAATCTTATTTTCCTGAGAGAGAGAGAGAGAGAGAGAGAGATGTAGTGTAATTCTCCTAAGAGATAAGAGATATTCTCCTGACAAAACACAACAGGACGATTATCAATAAGACTTTTAAAATGCAGAAGCAAAATAAAAAAAGTACTAAATCGGGTTACGTCTTCAAGTCTCAAAACGTAATAAATCCAGGTTACGTTTCCATGTCTCGAGCTCGCCAAGTTGTAATACAGAGGCTGGTAGACCTATGGAAAAAAATTCTATCAATTGAAACCATGAACCTGAGGTCAATATTGGCCAATACTATTAAAAACAACAGAGGGTTATATCTTACATGGGCCATTTGACCTCTATACCCCATCATGGCTACCTGTAATTAAGGTGGCCATAAGGTAACTCCTGTAAATCAATCAGGTAAGGTAAATTAGATCGAACTTACAGGTGTATTGTGATTGTATATAACCATTCAGATCAATCATTGATAATATGCGTCTATTCTTCTGTTAATGTTAGTATATCTGTCACAACAACATACCTGATCCCGACTGTCAGCTGATAATTAAGACGTCAGCAAGGTGTTAGACGTCAGTAAGGTGTAAGACGTCAGTAAGGTGTAAGACGTCAGTAAGGTGTAAGACGTCAGCAAGGTGTTAGACGTCAGTAAGGTGTAAGACGTCAGTGTAAGACGTCAGTAAGGTGTAAGACGTCAGTAAGGTGTAAGACGTCAGTAAGGTGTAAGACGTCAGTAAGGTGTAAGACGTCAGCAAGGTGTAAGACGTCAGCAAGGTGTACGTCAGTAAGGTGTAAGACGTCAGTAAGGTGTAAGACGTCAGCAAGGTGTAAGACGTCAGCAAGTTGAGCTCAACTACCTTAATTAACTCCTCAATAACAACCAAATGAAGACAATGAGGGCAAAAAGGACACATGTACTTATCTAACCCTGTAATAGTGGAAGAGTAAGTTAATATTATCAAGAATGTATCACCTTTACCTTATCTACCTGTGTTAATTAATACCATATTCACCTGTGTTAATTAATACCTGCTACAACACACACACACAGGTCTACGATAATAATATATAAATTTCTCTCACGGAATCATTGTTTACCTCGCTATGATGACGTCACTTTTTTGTGTTTACTAAGAATTTTCCTTTTTGTCCTTAATCACGTCAGGACCTATTAGATTCTGTCAGATCATTCAGCCAATCACAGAAGAGATGGCGGACCATACAGCAACAACTTAAACCTTTCATTAAGTGTTGTAATCGTCTTGTTGTGACCCCTAACAACCTTAGTGTACTTAACAACATATAACCAGCCACTGTAATAGTCCTACAACACAAGTAACTTCTCATACAGGTCTCATAGTCACTACTTAATACTGTCGTTCATTATCGTCACACAGGTAAGTGGAACAAGTTTTGATATTAATTCCTGTAAAATATTTATCTTAACGCCATAGAAATAATCACTTTTAACAAATGTATTTCCTCTGTGTCGGTCTTGCTTGCTTGCTAAATCGCGTGACTGTGTTTACTGGGTCATATGAGGTCAACTTGTACTACTGACCACAAGGTAACAAGTCTCTGATCACACATAACCAACAGGGTGTAATATGATCAATAATAATAATGATGTGTAATAAACAGACAGTAGGGAGCCATGACTGTTGAACTAAAGAAATGTCGATTTTTTTTGTTTTCTGAATATTTATCAATTTTAATTAGTGATAAGGGTTAATTAATGCTGTAATGATAACCAACAATTACAGGCTTAATCACTGGCCATGGGTGATGAGTGCCATGAGTGCCGCCGCCCTCCTCCGTGTTGTGGCACTGTGGGCGGCCGGCCATGTCGTGACCCGGGACGTCAACAAGATGGCGGCGCCTGACCTCCTGTATCCCCAAATGGTCCTATATAAGAATAATAAGATAATAGGAAGAGTAACTCTCTCGGGGTATTGGTGCTATCTCTCTCCATTATGTCCTGGGTTCGAGTCCTGCATCTATATAGCCGTGAGAAGGGTGTTATCCAGCGTGACCCTACCAAACACCTCAGATTCCCTCCTGCACTAAACACTACACGATAAAATTAATAACAAAGTAAGTAAGAACAGACCAGCCGCCCGAACTAACAAGGTGGTAGTTGGTGAGAAAAAAATATTGAAGGTGGAAAGACGAACGTACGGACCAGGTGAGTAAATTAAGTCAATACTGTACACAAACCCTCGGCCCTACGTCAGGTATAAGTCTTGGCCCACGTCCACCATCTTAATTCATAGGTGTCAGACGGGCTCCACCAGCTGTCTCATAACTACAGGTAAGATACAGTAATTAACTTGTGACCCCGAGACTGATAGTACAGAGACGAGGCCGAAGGAGTACTGTACCAACACACACAGACACACCTCAACTCATGTTCAACAACCAACCTGGTAACCACAAACGCGGCCCCAACAAATTCAAGATAGGTAACAACACTATTGACTATGTTTCTTCTTTTAAATATCTTGGTGCCTCCGTCCCTTCTACCCTACCTGCCATACAACAGCTAACCCGCCAATGTACTGACAGACTGAGAGGGGTGTGTGAGGCGTGGGGAGAGGGGTGTGTGAGGCGTGAGGAGAGGGGTGTGTGAGGGCGTGGGGAGAGGGTGTGTGAGAGCGTGGGGAGAGAGAGGGGGTGTGTGTGAGGCGTGTCAGGGGAGAGGGGTGTATTGAGGCGTGGGAGAGGTGTGTGAGGCGTGGGGAGAGGAATTGACAATGAGGCGTGGGGAGGAGGGTGGTGAGGCGTGGGGAGGGTGTGTGAGGCGTGGGGACAGAGGTGTGTGAGGCGTGGGGACAGAGGTGTGTGAGCGTGGGGAGAGAGGGTGTGTGAGGTGTGGGGAGAGGGGGGTGTGTGAGGCGTGGGGAGAGAGGTGTGTGGGGAGGCAGTGAGGAGAGGGATGTGTGAGGAGCGTGGGGAGAGGGGTGTGTGAGGCGTGGGGAGAGGGGTGTGAGGCGTGGGGAGAGGGGTGTGTGAGGCGTGGGGAGAGGGTGTGTGAGGCGTGGGGAGGGTGTGTGAGGGGCGTGGGGACAGAGGTGTGTGGGGCGTGGGGACAGAGGTGTGTGAGGCGTGGGGAGAGAGGGTGTGTGAGTGTGGGGAGAGGGTGTGCTGAGGCGTGGGGAGAGGGAGTGTGAGGCGTGGGGAGAGGGGTGTGTGAGGCGTGGGGAGAGGGGTGTGTGAGGGCGTGGGGGGAGAGGGGTGTGTGAGGCGTGGGGGGGGTGTGTGAGGCGTGGGGAGAGGGGGTGTGTGAGGCGTGGGGAGAGGGGGTGTGAGGCGTGGGGGGAGGGTTTGTGAGGCGTGGGGGAGAGTTATTGTGTGAGGCGTGGGGAGAGGGGTGTGTGAGGCGTGGGAGGGAGGGTGTTTGAGGGCGTGGGGGAGAGAGGGGGTGTGTGAAGGCGTGGGGAGAGGGGTGTGTGAGGCGTGGGGAGGGTGTGTGAGGCGTGGGGAGAGGGGGTGTGTGAGGCGTGGGGAGAGGGAGTGTGTGAGGGCGTGAGGAGGGAGTGTGTGAGGCGTGGGGAAAGGAGTTTGAGGCGTGGGGAGAGGTGTGTGTGAGTTTAATGGAGATGTTGTTTACTTTAAGTCGTCTTGCAGCAGGTGTAGAACGAGATACGAAGACATAGAATAGGGAGATAGAGGTGAAGTATACGGAGACGAGAGTAGAAAGATAAAAAAAGAATAATCAGTGAAAGGAATAGAAAAATGGCCAACAGACAGACCGACAGATAGGCAGGCAGAGGAGCAATCAGACAGATAGTTAAACAAAGAGAGAACACCAGATAGACAGACAGATGGACAAACAGATAGGGAGAGGCGATTAGACAGATAGATAAATAGAAGTGATTAGACAGGCAGACAGATAGAGAAAGAAAAGCATTCATACTGAGAGAGAGAGAGAGAGAGAGAGAGTAGAACGGACGAAGGACAGAGACAGCAAGGGTAGAAGTCGGACAATAAGAGACAGAAAGAAAAAAACCCATTAAGATAAATAAACAAAGATAGCAAAAGCAGTGTGAACCAAAGACAAACAGACAGAAGGCAAAGAAAAAAAAGTGTAACACATAAGCCTCTAATGTAATGAGGGCCACCACACATAAACACCGACCCTGCTAGCGGCCATGCACTCACACGTCACCCCGGAGAGACTTGCTCGAGAAAATGCTTTTAGCTCAATGTACAAGTCAATAAAGCCAAGCTAATGAACAAATTACACACTAAAAAAGACCAGAGAAAGATGCAGAGTGACAGGACTTACTGGCGAATGCGTAACCGGACAAACAAGGAAACTAGATAATCGAAATTAAGATGCAAAGGAGGGGAGCAATTGTATCAAAGAACTGTATATATTGAGACAGGTAGGTAAAGCAAATATATGCCCTTGATAATATGTATAACAAATAAACATCTTTCGTTATATCGGTTCAAGTGGATACGTGGTAAACTCAGATCTTAAAATACTATAAATGGATTACACACACACACACACACACACACAAACAAATAGTAAGCACAAGAGAGGGGAAGAATATTTATGAAGGAGGTGATTCAGACAGACAGACAGACAGACAGACAGACAGAGGTAAAAGAAGGACCGACTGGTTTGAAAGTTCTCTCACGTCGTGCTCCGGACCGTCAGCTCGCCCCGTTTCTACTCTCCGTGTGGGTGTACAGCCACAACTCCAATTAAACGGACGACTTGCATTTAAAGTAGGTTATATATATATATATATATATATATATAGCGGTCGCCTCCTCATGCTAATTCATCCATCTAGATCACCCCGGGTGCCGTGGCAGGGTGCCAGGGAGGACTTTGGCAGGGTGAGACGGGGAGAGGGACAAGGGGGAGAGATGGGGAGGTTTGCTGGAGGTATCAGGGTGGTCGTTGACAGGAGGCCAGTGGGTAGGTGACAAGGCAGAATGAACTAGTGGGCCTCTTGAGGGCCAACGACAAGTTATAAAAGGGCCAGTGACAAGACTCAAGTTGAACTGGGGCCGGATACTCAAAACACCTCATAAGTTACGTTTTTCAGCATGTTACAGTACCATATATTGTGGAAGCCTTACAGTACCATAAATTTAGCATACTCAAAATTTAATTATGGTTCCGTAAGACTACCATAAGTTCTCGTAACTCTAGTGTTTACCCTGTAAATTAAGTTCTCTTGTCGGACGGTAGCTGTCAGTGCAGACGCTAGTTGGCCAATCAACGCTCAGTTAACAAAATCATCAACCAATCACAAGAGAAGGAGAAATCAGCTGAGAGCGACGCACGTAATATTATTGTGTAAACATGGAAGGACCACCAGCCAAGAAGAGACGACCTAATTTCAGTGAGGCTGAAGTATACGCTTTTGTGACTGAGGTGGCCAAAAGACAAGAAATGATTTTAGGGAAGTTGGACTCAAGTAGTTGTACACTTCAACTCAAAAACCAGCCTGGGGTGAAGTGTTAAATGCGGTGAATGCTGTTGGTAGAGTCACCCGCAATGTTACTGAAATTCGGTGGAAGTTTTCTGCTGATCTTCGTGTTAGCGTTAAGAAAAAAGCAGCACAAGATAAGAAATATGCTGGTGGAACAGGTAAGTCTTAATATTGTTAGCGTGGTTATTGATTGACAATATGAAACAAACTTAACTATGGTTTTTCTGAGGCTTGGTACGATTTTCGTGTTTGTAAACTCAAGGAAGTAAGTAGTGTGGTGGCTCTCCATCGTGAATGAATACACATATTTTCCTTATATGAGCGCATCGTTCTTCGAAGTTTTCCGTGTGAGTAAATAGTAAAAACTTTACCCTTCAACCTAAATTTTTTTTTTTTTTACGTGGATTAACCAACCCAGGCACAGTCACTGACCCACGTCGGGGCCTGTAATAATAATTCTTTAGTACTATTAATAAAAATACCTCTTTATTAATAATAATATTAATAATAACTAACCATAAATACCGAAATGAAAACACAAAAAGTGAGAATCAATATACAGTATGTATGTTGTGTTGTTGATATTACGAGAAACAATTGCGACCCTGCACTTGTGTGTAAATGACACATTTAGTCAGATCAGCAACCTTGGACTTGCTCCTAATTTTCGTGATGCCATGTGGCAGCAGGGTCTACCATTAGACAACACATTATGCTTCCAATATCTTCCCACCCGGTAGTCAGGGAAGTCTGTACAACTGTTAATAATTTCCCCACAACTTTTGGATTTTCTTATTATAGCTATCATATAGATTACACAATTTTAAGACACACTTGTCATTGTGTCGCAACTGACGTGGAACAGAGATAGTTAATATGAGTTTGTGTGGCAGGGCAGCGGAGGCCTCCCGTTGGTAAAGGAAGCTAGGTTAGGTAGGTTTGGTTACTGTTATAAACTACATATTAATAATTACGTTATTTCCGACGGTAATGAAGGTCATAATGTATAAGTTGCCATAGAATTCCTTTTTTTATGTCGTTAATTTTCATTCATCAATAGATTTATATTCATATTTGGTATACATTAATATGTAAATTTTATTTTGTTAGGCTTATAGGCAAGGATGTTCTATCTTATGAGTTTACAACTAATACAGGTTGAAAATTTCTGGCTGCGACTATTTTTTTTGACTTATTTTACCATTTATTGTTTGTTACCTTAAATCTAATTAACTTTTGACAAAGATAAAGGAGAATTTTTGTGGCTACAGCTACAATGATAGGTTAGGTTATAATGTTGGAACTATTTCAGTAGATTCCTTTGTAACTATGATTTCTGCCAAATATAACATAGTTAGCGTATAGTGTATGTAACCACAGCTCACAGTAAGACAGTTATTATTTATATTTTCTCTTCAAGGTGGCGGCCCCCAAATTGAAATTACATACACTGCAATTGAAGAAGCAATTCTTCAACTATTAGATCCAGCCTCTATACATGGGATTCCAGGGGATGTTGAAAGTGAAGAACCTATTAATGGTA